CTTGGGGGGGGGGGTCTTAAACCTGAATCTTGCCAAATTTGGGAATTAACCCATCCACCCATTTAAAAAACCCTAAAATCTCCTGCCTTTTGCCTCCCCATAAACAATTAAGGACTCTATCTTCTAGTCCCCAAGCATTAAAGCAGTGTCCTCTTACTAGATAAAAATTACCTGGGTTGTTTATAAAAACAAAACACACACATTATCATTACTTTGACTTCAGGGATTCATGTCTTATCCATTTGTCCAACATAGGTCTGTAATCTCAGAAGTCTGATACTGTGGGTTTGGTTGCCCACTCATGATCTCACAAAATGAAATGGGCTATGTCCCCATTTGTAGCTGGAAGTCCCCTTTCAAGTTCCTTCTGCTGGCTGTGCAGAGATTCTGTAACTAGATTCTTGTTCCATAATTCCATCATCCAATTCTTGTTTCAGAAAGGCCAGTGAATAATACAGGCTGTCCTGATTTGTTGAGGACCACTTATAATCAGTTAATTAAAAAAATCAGTTAAGATGTTCAACGTACCTGCAAAATCCATTTTCCATATGAAGTAGCAATGGCTGTGTGTCCTGAAATGTGGATATAATTTTATTCAGTTCAAAAACCATGTGGACATTTTTCTTAAAGGGGCTGACCAGGCACTACTGAAAACCCACAGTAAGAACAGTTTTGATTTGATTGCAAGCATGGGGGTTGATTGTGGATCTACCTTGGCAAGATCAATCTTTTCTATCATGATGTATCATCTGCCTAATATAAAGTGCAGATGATTCTTCTAATCTTGATGCCACATTCTTCTTGATATAGTCCAGTTTCTTGAATTATTTGCTCAGTATACAGATTGAGTAGGTATGGAGAATAGATACAACCCTGATTCACACTGTTCCTGATTCTAAACGATACTGTATTCCCTTATTTTGTTTCAGTAACTTTTCTTCTTTTATGTGTAGGTTTCACATGAGCACAAAGTATTCTAGGATTCCAACTCTTCACAATGTTGTCCATGATCCAGAGTCAAATAGCTTTGCAGTCAACAAAATACAAGCAACTTTCTGGTTGCAAAGTTGCTTGTGACTCAGAGCGACCCTATGTACAACAGCTCTGAACCCTGCTCTATCCTGAGCCAATCTCATAGTCTCTAACACACCTACCTCCATTACCCCAGTCAATGAGTCAATCCATCTCATTTGGGGTCTTTCACTCTTTTGCTGTCCCTCTCCAAGGACTGGTCCCTCCTTGTAACATTCCCAAAGTATGTCAGATGAAGCTTAAAAATCCTTGCCTCTAAGGAGCGGCTTGGTTTCACCTCCTGTTTGTTGTAGTAGTTCACAGTACTATTATTATTTAATATTATTAATTAAGAATGAATATTATTAATATACTGTTATTATATTAAATATTATAGAATTCATTATATATGACATTAATAGAATATATGAAGATATAATAGATTCTATAATTTATTATATTATATATTAAATATTATTAATTATTAATATACTATTACTATTATATCCTAGTATATTCAGTATTCTTCTCCAGCATCACAGCTCAATGTTATCAATTATTCGTCTATCATCCTTAGTTACTGTCCAGCTCTCTGATGCACAGCAAATAACTGCAAAGTTACTTGGCCTGAATTAGGTGCACCTTAGTCTCTAGATTGACATCATTGCTCTTCAGTAAAACAGAGAGATCCTTGACATCAGATTCTCCCCAGTGCAATTCGTCTTTTGATTTTCATGTCTGTGGTACCAAGAGTGTTGATTGTGAAGCTGAATAAGTTGAAGCTGTGAACAATCTCAATGTCTTCATCGTCTATGATGATGCCCATTGGCCCAGTGGTAGCTCCAACCCATATTGAAGGTTGTAGTACTGGACCTTCTGCAGCAAATGCCTCAGTTATTCTCTGTTTATTCAATTTAAAGTATATTGTTGAGTACTGTCAAGTGAGAATGAACAAATAGCTGACCCTCCAGCGGGTTTTAAGAGGCAGTAAATCGCAGGAGGAGACTGCCAATCTTTTTATTCTGGCGAGTATTCTTTATCACACATATCTACTTGAAGAAGTTGGCTCTTCTGCAATATCCTTCTACATACCCTAATGTTTTCATAGTACTTGGCACTATCATTTTGCTAGGCATTGTATTTCAACTATGTCTTTCCTGGTCCAACAGCAGTTTGAACTCCTGAGTATTGCGCAATAACTAGGTCATGACGGGTGGTTAACAAATACCTGGATCAGAGAAATAAGATCTGACTAACTCATGCTAAGTAAGGCACACAGTTGTTGTCAAACGAGTTGTTCACTGTATTGCACTAACTGAAAGTCAATATTAAAACACGCACACACATATGTATATTTAGACATACTTATTATATTTGTCACGAAGGCATCACAAAAAAGTCACAAAAAACTAGGCTTAGTTTACAACAATATAGATCCCATGAAAACACATTTTTAATCATCTTTGCAGTTTACAATACTCTACATAATTTTAAAACAATTATTAAACAAAGTTTGAAATTAAAATGGTCAAAAAATGTAATTTAAAAAATATAAACAATTTAATACAGACTTCAGAAATTTGAGAAAGAAAAGGCCATGATGGAGAATCATTAAGAAATCTATAAAATTGCCAGACTTCCACAGACTACTTTCCATTATAAAAACATTTTGAATAAAGTAAAGTTAAAACCATGGAAAATACAAAAGTCAAATTAGAGATTTGGCTTAGTACTATCCCTGAGTCTCTTGTTTTTAAAATATCAAATGTAAGGCCAGTCAGTTCTAAATTTGACCCAAAGGTCTTGCCCTCATCCATGTCACCTCCTTGGAGAAATACATTTTAAAAGGCTACATGCTCGGAAATGGTCCCAGGGTTTTACTCAAATGTCATTCTGCTTATGCCATGGCCAAAGGATTATCAGGCATACTTCAGCTAGTCTATTTGGGCCTTTTTATAATGTACCATATTGAGATTATATACCAAAGAAGGAAAAGAAATCTCCACCTTTTAATACATATTAAATTGCTGAAAGGATTGGCGAGCTATATACACCAAAAAGTGGACATTTAATTGCTTGGAAGTAAATAGTATTTTAAAAATTTTACACAAAGAGTGATGGTGCATTAATCATGAAATTATAAATCTCTTATACCAAAGAGGGGAAAAACCCCCTCAAGAAATGATTAGAGTTTGAAAAACCTACTTCAACAAAAACCTCAAAACAAAGTTGAAAAAGTAATTATACTTTGATATTTGAATTTTAATTCCAAAAAACTAGCTGTTTCTTTGATCCTTTAAATAGACCCCTATGTTTCCACTCGATCACTCAGTTGCAGTCATGTGTGTACACATACATATGCTTAAAGGTGATCAAACCTTTCATTTTTAGAAAGCATTAATTCATAAGGATAAAAATTCTGCTGGAATCTAAATTTTATTTTTATATGTTAGATATACTAATTATTTGTTCGTTTATGTTATGAGCATTAAGTATTATGAATCAGACCTTCCAGTTAAAACTTTTCCCATACATTTTGACAACCATTCTTGGGATGCCTCAGACTGCTACAAAGCACTGCCAAAATATGTCTTCTCTATCATAATGAAATCTCAATTGCAGAATAACAGTAACAGTATAAAAGGCAATAATCATGGAGTATATTAAATACTGGGGGTGAAATGAAATGCAGGTTCTATAGCTACCAAAATTTATTCATTCCTATTAATTATTTAGTTTAATAAGCATCCCATTGCACAGCTGGGGTAACCAAGGCACAAAAAGTTTGTTTTTTTTTAAACATTTTAAAAGGTTTGTCTAATGTTACAGACGCCAAGACTCTAGAGGTCAGACACTCAAAGGGTACAATACATTCAAACTTTGTAACATTATATTTAACTCACCTGTCCTCTTTTTATCATATCTCCTACTTTGACTTCACCAAGCCCAACCCACCACTATAGCGTGTACTCTATGAGTACACTCATGGAGTGACCCTACAGGACAGAGTAGAACTGCCCACAGAGTTCCACACCTGGTAAATCTTTCTCCTATGGGTCATCTGGTCACTTGGTAGTCGAGTGCTTTCACTACTGTGCCACCTGAGCTTATTTCTGCCTAGGTGAAAAAGGGTCACCGATGTTTGTGTATGTATGTTGTGCATATGTATATATAAAAGGATACTACATATCTGTAATTAACAAGTTTCAATTAGGAAAACATTCCATAACTGAACTTCTAACAAATCTCAAAACATTCCATGAAATTCTCGAACAATTCTTAGGAAGGTCTGCTAGTTGGCATTCCTCTCTAAAACAAATTCTTTACACTAATCTTGAAGATAGAAAATTAAGTGTACACACATTCATAATTGGTAACATCTAAGTTTTTACTAAGCCAGTAAATAAAATGGAACACATTATCGAAGTTCCTAGATAACGTTAAAATTTTAAAGACAATTAACAAAATCATAGCACTTTGGTACTTTTTTTCTGAAAAACTCTAACATGTACAAAGTAAATATAAACATGTGGTATTTTGTACCTATTGACTGAGGTATTTTCAATCGCTTTATATGTAGGTGAAAATTAGGCAATGAACAGAGAAGACAGAAAAAGAAATTGAAGCCTTTCAATGGGGTGTTGGCAAAGAAAACTGAATACACCAGAGACTGTAAGAAGAACAACAAGCATGTCTCAAAAGAAGTATACACAGAATGATACTTAGAAGTGAAGTGGCAAAATTTCATCTCAAGCGCTTTGGACATGTGACCAGGATGGAGTAGTCCTTGTAGACCATCATGCTTAATAAAGCAGATTCAGCAAAAAGGGGCAAGATGCCCAAATGAGAGGGACTGACACAGTGGCTGCCCCAGTGAACTCACACATGACAATGATTGTGAGGGTGAAGCAGAAGCAAGCAACATTTCAGTTCTGCTGTGCATGGGGTTGTGCTGAGTCTGAGGACCCAGTGACACCTAATAACAAGCAAGTAACAGTAAACTGATACAGTGTAACCACTAAAATGTACTGACCAACTCTGTAACTTAAAACATTATCTGCCTCCACCAGCTACCATTCCAGTTCGACAGGGTATGCTCCAGTGAGACAAGCTGTACAATGGCCATTCTTTTCAAGACATTTCAGACCATTTCCATTTTCTTGAATCATAATATCTTGCTTTTCCACTTTCTGTTTTTTAAATTTTACCCTTTCTTGTACAGATGAAATCAGTCCCTCTACAGACAGATACACAACACTGTTTGCTCCTGGAAAGGGCGAGAGAAAGAAAGAACTGTTTCAACAGAGAATAGTTATAAGCTAGGATACACTTTTCTTCTTTGGTTTACTTTTAAAAAAAGGAAAAAAAAACAAAACAAAAAACAAACAACAAATCAACAACCCCAAAACCAAAACACAGGGCCTTTATAATTTTAATTGGAGTTTTGGAAATAACATTCTTTAAAATAGCAGTGGAAGAGGCTAGACTAAGATGTATGTAGAAACATTCAGAGTAATTCTCTTTATTTTGAAATCAGGAATATTTGGCTTCTAATTTAAGTTCAAGGCCCTTTCTATATCTATTCAATATCTACATTTTCACCTGTAAGTGGGAGAATGCTGTAAATGTAGAGCTTTTAGATGTCATTATTACAGGTAAAGCATGACATGTAGTTAGTTCCTGGTTGACAGTGAGCACTCGGAATGGGATACTCGAACTGTGGGATGTTCCAAACATTACAGGGGAAGGATACATGTGGTCAGTCAGTCAAAACAAGCGCCCACCATAAACAGCTGCTGCACACTGGTTAAAAGTCTGTGAGGCTTTATCTGAGTTCACCAAGTCTCCTAGTAAAATGTATAGAAGCTTTTTATTTCTCAACTGGCATTCCCATTCAAATAATTCTACTAGGCTCTGTGGTAGAACTGGTGTTTCTTTGCAGCATATCACCTTTAGGAGGATTTGACTGACATTCCTGAAAAGCCACATCTCCCCAAGCAAATTCCTGCATCATTTTCCTTTGTCGCACGTTCTTCTCACTCTCTTAACACAACACTTACTATAATGTGTACACATGCCAGAAACTAACTATGCAGGATCATGTAAAGAAAAGGTCAACAGTAGATACAGAGTCTACTTTTAAGAAATACGTAACATGACTTAATTGACATTGCAAAGATTTAAACACTTTAGCTTTTCGGTGTTAATAAAAGATAACAGACAAAATTTACAGAGATTTTAATACTGACCTAAATACTCTGCAAGATGATCAAATTCTGGTTTATTGGCAATAAGCTCTTCTTTTGTAGGAATGTTTATTCCCATGAAGCATGGGTATCGAATTGGTGGTGAAGCTACTCGGATGTGTACCTTTGAAAGACATAATTTCAGACATTTGTTATTTCGACATTAATAACAAAAATAGCTATACAAAATCCTCTTATGTTGGTCAAATGCAACATAAAATTGCTTTAAGACTACTTAGTAAAAACATCTGGATAATAAACTATGTATAGACTAGGAAACTATGGTGGCACAGTGTTAAGCTGTGCTGCAATCCCAAAGGCATACAATTTGAATCCACGAGGTGCTCCGAGGGAGGGGGATGATCAATCTCCTGCTGTATGATTAACTGCCTCTGCAAACCCGCTAGAGGGTCAGGGGAGTGGGTTCTGACACAATGGTGTGCACAAGAACAACAACAACAACTAGGGGAGTTGTGGAGAGTCCAGAGAGGGCTGCACGGCTAACTCGAAGTGATGCCTCTCTGGGAGCTGAAATCCATCACTGCTCCATGGGAAAATGAAGAGCAATCTCCTCCTGTGCTATTTACAGCCTCTGAAAATACAGAAACTCAATGCTCAATAGCGAAAGGGTCAACCAGTGCTTGGTTCCCATTCAATGACACATCAAAGTAACACTGCAAGAAATACATATTTTTCTTTCGATTGCATGATTTCCACAGGATAAATGACAAAGAGTGGTATTATCATAAAGTGGTTAGAAAATTTCAATTATCCTTGAAACGTTTTCATATTGCTTTCCACACAGTTTGCTCTACAACAGACTTGACTTTTCTTGTCTGGTTAGGTCACATAGTAGCTGCAAATGGCATCTCCTGCTTCTGTAATTGGAATTACTGAAATATTTAGAATTAAAGTTTTGAAATTATGAATTTAATTTAATGTATCAAATTTATTGTGCCTAGATATCTGGAGAACAACCAACTGGCCAACTGACTGGAAGAGATCTTTATTTGTTCCCATTCCAAAGAAGGGTGATCCAACAGAGTGTGAAAATCATAAAACAGTATCATTGATTCCATATGCAAGCAAGATTCTGCTAAAGATTATCCAAAAGCGACTGAGACAGCAGATCATGAGAGAACTTCCAGAAGTCCAGGTTGGGTTTAGAAGGGGTCGTGGTACTAGTTATTGTAGCTGATGTTAGATGGATATTAGCTGAAAGCAGGGAATACCAGAGGAATGTCTGTGTTTCATTGATTATACAAAGGCGTTTGACTGTGTGGATCATAACAAACTGGCTGACTCTGAGAAGAATGGGAATCCCAGAACACTTGATCATGCTAATGAGAAACCTATAATTGGACCAGGAGGCAGTCATTAGAACAGAGCCAAGGAGACAATGCATGGTTCAAAACTGGGAAGGGCGTATGCCAGGGATGTGTCCTATCTCCATACCTTTTCAACCTATATGCAGAACAGATTATCCAGGAGGCTGGACTCTATGAAGAGAAGTGTGGGGTCAAGATTGGTGGAAGATCTATCAACAATCTGTGTTATGCAGATGACACAACCCTGCTTGCTGAAACTGAGGAGGACCTAAAGCGCTTGCTGCAGAGCGTCAAGGATTGCACCCTTCAATATGGATTGAGGCTCAATGTCAGGAAGACAAAGATTCTCACCACTGGACCAATTGGTAGCATCAGGATGGATGATGAAGAGATTGAGATTGTTAACAACTTTAGTTTGCTTGGCTCTACGGTCAACACTCTTGGCACCAGCAGCCAGGAAATTAAAAGACGTACTGCAATGTGAAAGCCTGCTGTTAGGGACCTCTCCAAAGGGCTGAAGAGCAATGGTTTCACTCTGGAGACTAACGTGTGCCTGCCACAGGCCATGGTCTTTGTAATCACTTGTTGTGTGTCAGAGAGTTGGACAATGACTAGGGAGGATAAAAGGAGAATTGATGCCTTTGAACTGTGGTGCTGGAGAAGAGTATTGAATGTACCATGGACCGCTAAGAAAACAAACAGGTTCATTCTGGAGAAGGTTAAACCAGGCTGCTCCTTAGAGGCAAGGGTTCTGAGGCTTTGTCTGACATACTCTGGACATGTTGCAAGGACGGACCAGTCGTTGGAGAAGGACATCATGCTTGGGAGGGTGGAGAGACAAGCACAGGAAGTGAAGACCCTCTATGAGGTAGATTGATACAGTGACTGGGGTAACTGGGGTGGGGGTGTCAGAGACAGTAAGATTGGCACAGGACAGAGCAGGGTTTAGGGCTGTCGTACATAGGGTCATTATGAGTCGCAGGCAACTCAACAGCACATAACAACAACATCAAATTTATTACCTTATGATCGCTTTTATGTCTTCAAGTAAAGAAATTTATTAGCACTACGTAAGTTTCAGTATTGTATTTTGTGATTTCTTTCCCCCTAGTCTTGTATACATTTTAAATCTTTTATGTCTAAGGATTCTATTTCGCATACTGTTTCAAATTATTATATTTAAATTAGTATAGTTGTTCCTAAAGTTGATATTAATATTGTTATGGTTAATTATTAAGTTCTGATTCCCTGTACTTAATTACAGGGACTTTAGTAGTTTAGTCTGTAGAGAGCTGAGCTACTAAGCAAAAGGCAATATCTCTTCAGTGGTTCAAACACACAAGCCACTCTGAGAAAGTGGGAAATTGTCACCTGTGCAATTCAGAACTTTAGAAAACTGCTGAAAGGTCAGATATGTGCTGATTCTGCCTCCATGGCAATGTTTTGTAAATTCTTTTATTTTTTTTAAAGCAAATATTGTTTTTATTTTATTTTATTATTTTTGTGTGCGTGTACCGTCAAATCAGATCTGACTGGTACAGGAGGAGATTGCCCCTCCTTCCCCGGCAGAGCATCTGGTGGATTCGAACCATGCACCTCTGGGATTGTAGTTGCAGCTTCTTGCCACTAGGCCACCAGATGTTTTGTAAATTCTTGATTACAATTTTCTTCACAAAATCCCACTAAAAATTAGTGCTATAGGGTATTTACTTTAGTCTTACTTACCTCTTTCGCACCAGATTCTTTGAGTAATTTTATTATGGGTGAGATGGTATTGCCTCTCACAATTGAATCATCTATAAGAACAATTCTTTTGTCTTTAAAGTTGTCTGACAATACTCCAAATTTTTTTGCAACGCCAAGTTGTCTTAACCTCATGTTTGGCTGAATAAAAGTTCTTCCTACGTATCGATTTTTACATAGTACCTCCACATAAGGAAGTCCACACTAAAGGAGAAGAAGAAAAAGAGATGAGTAGAAATAAATCCAATGCTCCTATTTTCTGCAGACATAGTGCAGAACTTGTATTTTTGTATTTCAAAGCTTGTATTTTTCTAAACTCTCCATCACCAGATTATAAGTTTTCCTTTACTGTTTAAACTGTGAGATGGGAAAATAAAGAGAAAAATCATTAAAAGTAATAAACACAGGCTTTTGCTGCCAGTGGGCCCTTAAGCAAAACCACCTGGCTTCTTCCCACGTGTTTAGCACCTTTTACCCCTGCTGCCATTCAGGAGCTGGAGCCATGGGCCGTGCACTGGGGTATGCCCCACTACGATCTGGCTTTGATCCTGAAAGCCATGCATGCAGTGGGTGTATCTTCTTGGAAAGTGTTGTATAGCATAAATTATCTTGACTTGGGATATGTCTGAAGTTCTTTAGTAATCTCTAAAATATTCTCATTCATCATCTTCTTGTGCCTGCATGCTGAGATTTTTGTGAGTATCAGGGTCAGTACAGTAGACTTCACTAAACTTAGCTGCAACTCAGAATTTCTTCTTCAGCATCTGAGTAAATGCTGATGATCTTGCGGAGTGTGGATTAAGAGTACGAGCTAAATTCTCAATTCCAATTAAGAAGTGGAGGAAAATTTAAACTGTCTCCTTCAAAGCTATCACAACCATCACCATCAAAACAGCAAACCAAAGCACAAAGACTACGAGTTCCATATAGTCCAGTTCACCAACAAATTACAGATTTGGGTGGGGTACTAATAAGTAAATAAAAAGTTTGGACACTAAAAAAAAAAAGAAGTAATACACAGGATAGGTAAAACAATCCTCCAAGTATTATCTATCTAAAATGTATATATGCTATTTCTTTTAAAAGCTAAGGAATGAAATAAGGTAGTGAATCTTGTATATTATACACCAGCGCCAAGTGACTACTTATAACAAAATAAGGAAGCATAGTACTAAGAACATTATTTTAAAAACAAACCTAAAAATCTTTATTTATCATTGCTCATACTAAATAGGGAACAATTATACCAGTGGCCTGTGAGGGCACTTAAAAGAAACCAGACTTTAATGAATAACATTAATAAATTCTGGATATAATGAGGATGTTATGCTTTCTTTTACCCCTGTCAAGAAACTAGACTTTAATAAATAAATACTGTTAATAAATCCTGGATATAGTGAGGATGTTATGCTCTTTAAAAGAAGTCAGTTTTACATCACATCTCTGAATGAATCTTATTTTTATTAAAATAGTGGCACTGAATAAAAAGTATAAAAGCAATAAACACATTTTCTAAAACAAAAAGTGATCCTCAAACCTCCCTTTTGTCTTACAATAAAATGTTCAATTTCTCTTTATAAGAAGGGATGCCTTATGCGACTGAGAAGAGAGCGACTGACTGAGTCATGTCAATTAAGAGAATGTACCTTTGTTGCGTAGCCAAGAGCTGCGGGTGTGGCAGACTCAGGGACAGTGCTGACCAAGTCTGCATCCACAGGAGCTTCAATGGCCAGCTGCTGACCACAACGGTATCTTACTGTGTAAACCATTTGGCCTGGTGTGTTTAGAAAAGGAAATAGATGAGTATAAGGATTCTATTCTAAAAATCTAGTTTAACTAGAACTGTACAATTGAACACAAGTAGGAACCAGTCGACCAGAACTTTAATACAGACTACAAAAAAAAAACCCCAAAACAAAAAACCAAACAAAAAAAACCCACACCAAAAAACAAAAACACTCAAAACAAAAACAAAAAGGAAGGAACTACCCCTAAAAGAAAAATCAAAATTCCGGACAACAAATAACTATGTGCCTTGGAGTGCCAGAGAAACCTCTGGGATAGATAAAAAGAATTATTATATCTACCAAAGAAAAGAAAATCTACTTACCTTCAAATATACTATCTGGTCTTGCAAAATAAACATATTCAAAGATACAAAAGGCCACTGGATTCCCTCCAGATCTTGATAGAATATCAAGTGTCTGAACATTATGTCTGGATATTTTCACAATCTCTCCAGGCAAGATTTCACGGTAATACCTTGAGAAAAAAACGTTAAAGATGACGTCGAGTAAATTAGTCCTCAAAGCCTAGAACAACACCCATTCATTACAAAACAAACATAGAATCCCCTTTCTCACTGACACTGGTCTCTAGCTCAACATAAAATCAAGAGATGGCTTTTTTCTTTAAAAAGAGGGGATATGCCTCCAACAGTAATCTCTGTAAACCTTCTCATACTCATCAATTCTTAAGTTTTAAAAACTAAGAGCCAAAGTTTTCTTAATTTTGGAATAATAAAGGCTAATAGGAGTATTTTTATTCTGGCTTAAGTTTTTCAACTGTAACTAACTCCTGAAGAAGGCCTTTTCTTTCTAAACTGTCTCCTGAAATTTTGCAATATGCCCGTTTCAGAATTCAAAGGTATCACAAGGAACATTAAAATTATTAAAATAATTAAAATTAAAATTCTTACCATCAAGAATACTTTTACATAAAAACAAATTAATAGGCAAAATTGCTATCAATGTCAAAAAAGCTCATATGCTAGACATAAAACTTACATTGCACCAATAGATAAAAAGCTACAAGATTCTGAAGACACCACCCATCCTTCCGTTTCTGAAGACTTTTTTCCTGTAAATCATAGGACAACCAATTTAGATAATGTATTTAAGAAATATTTAAAAAGGTTACCTATTTCTGCAGAACTTTGAAATACAACACATAAATGAAAAATACACAGATCATCCCTTTCTTTGACTTTAAGAGCACATGGATTTTGAGCCAATGTTAAAGTATATAAACTCTTAAGTTTCCTCCAAGCATTATAATTTACTAAGACATCCGACAAGTAAACAACAAAACCATTAAAAATCATACTGCAGAAATGATGAATCACAGCAAAGGAAGTCAACCCAAACTGGCAGTTTAGACTAGTAAAATTAGGAATGTCCAATAATTGCATGAAGACAAGAAGCAGCTCATTCTCAGAAATATTCATGAAAAATGTACTCTCTACCTACTCCCTCCTCACCCATCAGCATGTGGCAGAGTGATGGCACTGAAAAACACCTATCTGACCCTGCTGAAGCTCATTACCTTTCTCATTTATATCGGAGACAGGGATCAGACGACCGATGCACAGAGGCCGATTTCCATAAGGATCTCTCACTGCATAAATGACATCTCTATGCATGATAAGTAGGGAGTACGCTGTAGGTGCCTCCTCCATTAAGTTTTTAATTCTGAAATGAATTAAATTAGTAACTGTTACAACATGAAAGGCAAGGCACTCGTGAGCAGAGCCCCAAGTTTAGTTCCCTTTCACATTTATTTACCTTGCTACCCAGTCGGGGGTGTCATCTTGCTCATGAGGAGGCGTATATGCCAGTAACTGGGTAATCATTTCACTGTCAGAGCTTGTTGACAGACCAACACCCTGACGAAGAAGCTATTCGGAAGGGGGAAAGCGTAACATTAGAGGGAGAAGTACCACTGTACTTTTTACCCAACAGTCGGCCACAATAGCAAGAAATCAAGCACTCTGTAGAGGCGATATCAAGTGTCTGAAGGTCCTTTCAGGGAAGGGAGAGAGGGGAAGTACTTTAGAAGATACATAGGAAAGCTGCTGAAGATGAAGGCATTATGAAGATATGGCTCACAGTTTTCAAGTTTTCTGTCTTCAACAGTCCTAATGGGAGCTCTGGTAGTATAATTTGTAGGGAGTTGCACTATTAACCCAAAAGAGGTGTGTCTCTGGTGGCTTGAATCCACCAGTGGCTCCATGAGAGAGAAATGGACAATCTTCTCTGATGCGATTTCCATCCTCAGAGAACCCATGGAAAGGTCAGCTAGACTTAACAGCAATGAAGTTTTTATGTTTTTGTTTGTTCTGTTTTTTTTTTTTAGTTTGAACAACAGTACTAACAAAAAGCATAGATTTAAATAATCAGGTGTACCACACTATATATAGTAATGACTCAAACTGAGCTTGATGGTAGTAGACAGGGTGGCTATTCATCTGAATTATTTCTGATAGAGATGGAAAGATATACTCAGATGTTGTTGTTATGTGTCATTGAGTCGCCTGCGACACACAGCAACCCTATATACAACAGTCCGACATCCTGCTCTATCCTGTGCCAACCTTACTGTCTCTGACACGCCTACCATCCCCATTACTCCAGTCACTGAATCAATCCATCTCATCAAGGGTCTTCCTCGCTTGAGCTGTCCCTCCACCCTCCCAAGCATGATCTCCGTCTCCAAGGACTGGTCCCTCTTTGGAACATGCCTAAAATATGTTAGGCGTAGCCTTCAGAATCCTTGCCTCCAAGGAGCAAATTGACTTCATGTTCTCCAGAATGAACCTGTTTGTTGTCCTAGCAGTCCATGGCATATTCAGTACTCTTCTCCAGCACCACAGGTCAAAGGCATTAATTCTCCTTCTACCATCCCTAGTCATTGTCCAGCTTTCTGATACATAGCAGGTAATTGCGAGGACCATGGCCTGGATCAGGTGCATCTTGGTCTCCAGAATGACATCATTGCTCCTCAGTACTCTGGAGATATCCCTGATAGCAAACTTTCCCAATGCAATTCATCTTTTAATTTCCTGACTGCTGGTAGTTAAGAGTGTTGATTGTGGACCCGAGCAAAGTAAAGTTTTTTACAATCTCAATCTTTTAACTATCTATCATAATGTTGCCAGATGGCCCAGCGGTGAGAATCTTTGTGTTCTTGATATTGAGCTTCAATCCATATTGAAGGCTGCAGTCCTTGACCTTCTACAGCAAGTACTTCAGGTCTTCCAGAGTTTCAGTAAGCGGAGTTGTGTCATCTGCATAACTCAGACTGTTGATAAGTCTACCTCCAATCCTGATGCCATATACTGACTTAGAGCCCAGGTTATCTAGGAGGCTGGGCATACACCCTTCCCAATTTTGAACCATGCAATGTTTCCTTGAACTATTCTGACTACTGCTTCCTGGTCCAGGTATAGGTTTTGCACAAGTATGATCAAGTGTTTTTTTATTACTATTCTCCATTAGATAGAGAAGTAGCCGATTTGTCCATCAACAAATGGATAGAAAAACTGTGGTATATCCACACAATGGAATATTACACAGCACTGAAAAGCAATATGTAAAACACTACACAACATGGGAAAGTCAGTAAGACATTATGCTGAATAAAATATCTCAGTTATAAAAGTACAAATACTGAGTAACACTACTGTTACAATGTAGGACTTGCACAGATGACACGGGGGGGGGGAAAAGAATGGATAATGATGAACACTGCACTGGAACAGATGAGGGGGAAGGACTGTCTGAAAGAAATGTGTGTTTATGCAGTATGTGTATCACAACAATCTGAAATAAGTGCATGACAAAGTTTATTCGGGGGGGGGAATAGATAAAAGGGGAGGGAGGAAAATGTGCATCAATAAATGAATGAAAACCTAACCTTTCTAGGGGGAAAGAAACTACTCCAGTTAGAAAATACTGTTTAACAAGATCCTTACTAATTACAGCTACAGAAGATAAAAACCATTTCAAACAAAAACAATCTTACCTTTCTCCTTAATTGAGCAGCATTTACCAATTCTCCATTATGTGCCACTGCTATTTTCCCATGAAGTGTTTCAACAACAAAGGGCTGACAATTTTCTAATTCACAGTTTCCTGTTGTGGCATACCTCGTGTGTCCAATTCCAAGATTTGAAACATATAATTTCTTCAAATTATCTTCAGTAAAGACGTGATTGACAAGACCCAGTCCCTTACAAAATCAAAGCAAAGGGCATCTTATTGAAAATAGAAACTAAGCCTGTTAGTAAGTAGTAAAAGGCAGGTATTTGCTGAGGCAGTCCTAATGGGGGCAGAATAATTGTAATTTCCCTGTGCTTCATAATCTTAAAAAGGTTAGTCAAACTGTGAGAACACGGAAGCACTTAGGTTTTATATTTAAGAACAGGTGTATTTATGCATGATATTTGTGAAATACAAACTATTACTAAACAATCAAAGCATCTTAAAAGTGTTTAAACACTTTCTAACTACCACTGAGAAAGCCATCCTAAATTGACAAATGTTAGACTATAATGCTGGAAATGGCTGATCCAAAACATATTACTTCTAATTGCAAATTACTTTTTCAAGCTTCCCCCACCTCCATATACGAACTGTCTAGGTATTTCTGTAACAAAATGTCTTAAGTGCTTAAATATACCTTATGTATTCTGAATGTCGGTACAGAACTTCCATCACTGGTCACAATGCCAGCACTCTCCTGGCCCCTATGAATATAAAAAGATACATTAACTGTTATCTGCCCAATTGATAAGCTCTTTGGAAAACTTTAGTAAACATACTTTTCTCAGTAGGCATACATGGGTTTCAATTCACAACATAATCAATGCTATTCTTACTACTACCTTCTGCTGGCTGATGATCATCAGATAACAATGGTATTTGGAATAAGAGCTACTGATATACCACTAAGCATATGCCAGGCACTGTCCTAAGTAATAGAGATTAATCACTTAATTGGGTTTTCATAACAGTCTGATAAAGAGGTACAGTTATTACCATTCCTTCCTATTATACAGATAAGGGCACTAAAAGCAAACTGCCCAATGACAGGATTACAACCCAGACAATCTGATGCCATTTGACCTCTACCTAAGGTTTCACAGGATGAATATGCGTATAAATCAGAACCTCCAAATACAAACACAGGTAAAATGATTTGTTCTGGGTAGAAATAGGGGAGGTGGAGTGTAGAATTATTGACAAATTTTTGTTTCACAAACCTCTGCCAGATGTTCGTTATGTGTCATTGAGTCACTTGCAACTCATAGTGACCCTATGTACAAGTACCTATTAATAAAGGTTAGTATACATCATGTTCAGTTCGCTCACTGCTTTTAAGTAGGTTCTTCATCTAGTGTCTGAGCTGTAAATCACAATGGGAGGAAACTCCCAATACGTCTCCCAACAAGTCTCTAGTGGTTTTGAACCAGAGATGTCCTGCTTGGCCTGTGGGGTTACCAAGACAACTCTCTACTGACTAGGCTACGAAAGATCCTGACATTTCCAGTTACTTGGCTGATTAAACATTAACAAGAAAAAAATGACAACATATTAAATGTATTTTCAAGCAAAATTTTAAATCAAGAAGAAATTATTTTACATTACCAATGCATAAAATACTATGCTAAAATAGATATTCAAATGAGAAAAGCAGGTGTAATACTAAAAGATTTATTATGAGTACTTAAATTATCACGTAAATATTTTTTCCTCTATAAAACGGTGTGGTCCTTAGATTTACCGATGGTAAGAGAGTAGGTAATTTATGTCAGGGACAATATTGCAGGAATGTTAGCTGTAAGCATCAAAGCAGAAACAATCAGTGCTAATCCTTTCCAAATTATTTTTTAAAATAGTGATCATTTGATTATATAAGAAATACACAAAAGAAATGGTTTCCTTTCCCTTTTATCAAAGCTAATTTATTTATTTATTTATTTTTCATTTCTATGAACATCTACAGAGATTTTGGAATTCCATTCATTCATTGTTGCAAACTTCTTCCCGCCCACCCCTCCCCCCCTTTGCTCCTCTCCTTCAAAAGCAAAAGAAAAACTCCCCCATTGGTACACAATTCCCCCCCCACACACACATCCCCTAACCACACCCCCAAACCCAAAGGGTAATTATTTTTTAAAAGCAGAAAGGAAAATGGTTAGGGATCAGTTAGATCCAAGCTGCTTTAATCACAAAGTCTGCTTATTTGGCAGTTTCTCAAGTTACTCCCCTCAGGCAGCTTTAACCAGTTAAACAAGAATCTGTCAGCTCTTTGGAGCTTATTGACAACCAGTCGCCTGGTTTCCTAGGAAACAAAACCTTGGCTAGAAATAGTGAATCATTTCCAGGTCACTTTCAACATGGAGAGTGGAGCAGGAAAGCACTGGACTGAAGAAGAAGTTAAAGCTTTACTGAGTGTCTGGGCAGAAAAAAATATACGAAAACAACTTTGTGGAACACTGAGAAATAAAGGGATATTTATTTACATTGCTGAAAGGCTGCAAGCAGTAGGCATATATAGAGACTGGAAACAGTGCCGGGCAAAGTACAAAAATCTCAAATATGAATATAGAATAGTTAAATATGCCCACAACTCTGGAGACAGTTCTAAAACTATGAAGTTCTTCCATGATCTGGATGCTATCCTGCAGGGTGAACATTTCACACAATTAACAGAGAAGGATGCAAACACCAGGTGCCCGTTAACGCTGAGCCCAAGACCAGCCCCAGAGACCACAGAAGGTAAAAAGACCAAGTACTATTCTTTTGTTTTTACCTAGTGAACTGTAAAGGTATAGAACTTTAACATCCATCTTATGATGAAGACTGCCTGAAATATCAGAGAAAAACAAATATGTTGTCATGCTATTTTGCACATTTAAAAAACATTTTTTTAAAAGAAGAGGTTTCTACCATCACCCTTAAAATTTGTAGACTACAAACTTACATTTAGTGGTTCATGCCAACTGCTCCTTAAACATGCTAGAAAATGTTCTTAAAATGTGAATTTGGGTTCTCAAAATATTGTAAGTTTTCATTTTAAAAGAAATAGAACTTTAAAAATATACCAGATGCATCTTCAAAAAGTAAGAGCATTTTTGGCACCATTTTAATGTTTCCATTTTCCTGAATTTATTTATAAATATAAGCACTAAAATAAAATGCAAAACATGGATAAATACTTATTACTCATCTGGAGTGCAGGGGGTGGGGGGGGGTGGGGAGTCACTTCATTTTAGCAGTGAAGTAAAACAAAATTAATTACTTAAGAGAACAAGGTACTTTGTGTTGCCCAAACCTGACACTACTTCCACAGAATCTGCTCCAATTTATGAGAAGATCATGAGGTTCGACTACAGTTGGATTAACCTCAGTTAGCAGAACATCATCTTTCTATAGTTCAATAGCCAATCATGGCAAAACTCTACCAACACAGGCCTCTTAGACTTCTTTCACTAGATTCTGAATTTTGAGAACGCTTTTCAGTCACTATATTAAACAGCAATTGCAGTGTTTTAATCACTCTGGAATCCTTATCATTTAAATGCTTTAAATACTAACTGATAGATTTCAGGGATTGATCTGATGAAAATGGCTCCAAACGCCTTGGTTTCACTCCTATGTAACTCACATGACAAGGTCACTGCTTAACCTGGTGTTTAGATGAGGAAACTTGAACCCTTAATTCTAAAACCAAACTATTTCTTCCTCCTTAAAGTTGATTATCTTATAAACTGCTTCCACCTCAGTATTATTGTATCTCTGGTGATTAAAATAGAAAGCTTAAGAGATAGCTTTGGCCTTTGACTTGTGACTAATTTAAAAGTCTACCTCTGCCTAGAATGTTTTATAATTTTCTCTCTCTCTTTCATTCTCATCATTCACATGGAATAGTTATTAAGATAGTCTCATAACTAAAAATTTCCACAGACAGACTCATTCTTGGATGGTTATGAGGGATGATGAGAAGGAAGAGGGGAGTAAAAATTATTAAGTAGATAGCAGACACTAAGATGGGTGAGGGGAAAGGAATCAATAATAAGGGAACATGCAGACATTGTGAGTACTGATGTAAAAAAACAAATTGTGTATGAGTGACTGAACAAAATGCTTTATGAACTTTCGGCCTCTTCTAACTCATCTTCCACAGCACTATTAGTTTTGGGGGGTGTGTGTGTGTGTATGTTTATTTACTTGTGGTATGAACCACTTTCTATAGACTTTTTCAGTTATATAACTATTACACAAATTGACTCTTCTCATCAATTGTTGTCGTGGTAATAGTATATGGAACTTTTTTTTTTTTTGGTCATACAATTTTGGCTTTTTATTTGCCCTGCAGAAATAAAAAAAAATTTAATGTAATCAAATAGCTTCTTTGCTGCATGCCGCCTTTCTCAGGGTTTCCTGGCGGAACCAGCAGAATTTTTATTGGTATGCGATCAATTTAAAGTGGCAAGAAAATGCTGATTCCACTACTGGAATTAACCTTCTGCAAGTAGTAATGACTGAGGATCTGGTACTCTCTGTCAGCAGATAATCTGTACCCTGACAAAGGACCCATATAAGTTTCTGACCAATGCTATCTTTTGTTTTTATGTGCTGCTGAGTTGGAATCAACTTACAATCTCCAGTAGGTTTTTGGAAGTAGTATATGCCACCATGGGAACTGATGGCCCATCTTACTCCTGCAGAAAAGTTGGTGAATTTGAACCCTGTGCCTTTGGGTTGGCAGGGCAGCTTCTTACCACTAGGAACCAGAGTTCCTGGATGCAACTGCCCTGAAACACAGAATACTTGTGGCCAACTGCTGCCAAGACATTACTATTATAACTCAGTTTCCATTCTATGTCCCTCCTCTTTCTTTATGCATGCTGAAAATTATCCAAAAACCACTGGAACAACACATCAACAGAGAACTGCCAGATGTGCAGCCTGGATTTAGAAGAGGCCGTGGTACTAGGGATATTATAGCTAATTTCAGATGGATTTTGGCAGAGAGCAGAGAGTACCAGAGGAATGTCTATCTGTGTTTCATTCACTATACAAAAGCATTTAACTGTGTGGATAACAATAAACTGTGGCCAAGTCTGAGAATGGGAATCCCAGAACACTTGATTGTGCTTATATGAAATCTACACTTGGACCAAGAGACAGTTGTCAGAACAGGGCAAGGGAACACTAAGTGGTTTAAAATCTGGAAGGGTGTATGCCAGGGATTTGTCCCATCTCCATACCCTTTAAACCTGTATGTGAAACAGATCATATGGAAGGCTGAGCTCTATGAGGAGTAATGTAGCATCATGTTTAGAGAGGAAGAGTCAACAATACGCATTATATAGATAACACAGCCCTCCTTGCTGAAACTAAGGAGGACTTAAAGCACGTGCTGCAGAAGGTCAAGGACTGCAGCCTTCTATACAGATTGAACTCAACATCAAGAAAACAAAGATTCTCACCACTGGGCCAATTAACAGCATCATGATGGGCATTGAAGAGATTGAGATTGTTAACAGCTTTATTTACTTGGTTCCACGATTAACACCAGGGACATCTGCAGAGTACTGAAGAGCAATGATGTCAGTCTGGAGACTAAGGTGCACCTGATCCAGGCCATGGTCTTTGCAATTACTTGCTATGTATAAGAAAGCTGGACAATGACTAGGGATGATAGAAGGAGAACGGATGCCTTTGAGCTGTGATGCTG